ATCACTTTAGGAAGGAAGGTTTGATGTTGGTGCCTGAGTAAACCTCTGAGAACCACGGAACCCTTCAGGTTGGAGGAGCTCTCAAGGACCATCGAGCCCAAGCACCAGCCAGGTGGCAGTTAATGCTTGTACCCACTGGGTTGCAATTTGGCAAAATATATTCCTGCTAAAGCAGCCCCTGGACAGCCAGCCTGCACTTCCCAGTCTTTCTACAGTGGATTAATTAAAATAAAAGTCACTGTACAGGGCTCTGAGTCAGCCAGGGCAGGGAGATAAAACTTTATGGAAAGACACTAAAGAAATTCCCATCTCTTTTACTAAGACAGAAAACCACAACAACAGAACTCTGTAAAGATTAAAAAAAAAAAAGGCATAAATAAATATATAAATAAATGTACCTGTTCCATAATTTCATTCCACTCCTATTTCCTACTCCTTCCAGCAGCCTCCAGAGTCCCAGAAAAGTCTCTTTTTGTGACTTCAGGGTGTTGGTGAGAATCCTCCTCACTGCAGAGAAATCCCAAGCTCCAGCCAAACACCCCTGGGCTGCCCCACTCCACCCTGATTTCCTGCCAAAGCAACACCTGCAGAATAAATAGAGCTGAAACAACAAACAGCTGCAGAATAAACAGTGATCAAGCAATAAACCCAATAAACCTGGTGTCACAGAGCTGAAGAGCCTTCCAGAGCAGGGGCACAGGGGACTTCAGGTGGGCTGCAGGGACTCCTGGCACTCAAAAATAGAAAGAAATAGTCAAGAATATTTTCTTTATAAAACATTCAAAAATATCTGTGCAGAATAATTTCCTAAAGGGAGCCATGAGGAAGATTGCAGACTACAGACCTTCAGATGTGACTCTGGGGTGAAATCCTGCAGGATATTTCCAGTCCCTAACACATAAACTCAGAAGTTTCCCCTCCTGGAGCTGGGAACAGGCAGGAGGACAGGAGTGTCCTTCAGCTCCCTGTGCACACCAAGGTGTGAGTGCTCAGCCACAAAATAAAACCTTCCTAAATCCAGAACCAGGGTGTTGAAATAGCTGTGTCACTGCTTTTGAAAAGCAAGGGTGTGCATTAACTTGTGTCCAGACTGTCTGGTTTCAGGTAGGACAAAGCAAAGATGCAAACTAGAATTTGTATAGCTTTATATTAATCAAGCTGGAACTAAACTCAAGGAGTTTTCTTACCTGGACATGCAAAGAAAATACACAGAATTCACATTTATCTTTCTGTGCTTCATATGAGAGCTTTGCTTTCCATTCTTTAGTGCTCCAATTGCAGCATTCCCTGTTTTAATTAATGTCAAAATTCCTAGTTTAAGACTTACTTTAGCAAAGCCCAACAAAAATCCTCTCTGCACAACAGCAGAAAAATTCTTAGGGTCACTGGGCTGTCTCTGTATTCCAGGGGTGGAAATCAACACTTTTAGGACACTCCTGCAAATATTCTTCACAGATATCACAGGGTTAACATTAAACCCTGACAGCTATTTCCAAGCTCTCTGAAATGCTGTGATGGAAACTGAGACAGAATTCCCAGGTGGTCCTGGTTCATCTGCATCTCTCCCAGAGATCTCTCAATTGACACCTTGAAAAAAGATGATGATCTGTTACAACTTGGCTTAATTAATTGAACTGTTCATCCTCCCTCCTCCTCCACGTTACCCCACCTGATGTGCAGAGTCAGAAAGCTGAATAATTACAGGAGAAAAGCAGGGACACTGAGGGAGAAGGTGGAAAACTCAAGAGAACAATTTTTGTCAAGACATTCACTCATCCATAGGCAAGAACTCCGGATAAAATTAACACATAAACCTCATTTTTGCTGTTTCTAATAAACAAAAGCATTTAAACACAAATTGCCTTTAGAACAGAGCAATACTCTGCAATATCACTTTAATGGCTTCCCCCTGCCAGAGGGCAGGGATAGAGGGGATATTGGGCAGGAATCCTTCCCTAGGAGGGTGGGAGGCCCTGGCACAGGGTGCCCAGAGAAGCTGTGGCTGCCCCTGGATCCCTGGGAGTGTCCAAGGCCAGGTTGGACGGGGCTTGGAGCCACCTGGGCTAGTGGGAGGTGTCCCTGCCCATGGCAGGGGGTGGGATGGGATGAGCTTTAAGGTCCCTTCCAACCCAAACCATTCCATGACTCTGTGACATCAAGGCCTCGACAGGGAGCTCCATTGATACTTTTTGCAGAGGTCCTTTTCTTCCCAGACAGGCTGGATCTGGATTTAACATCATGCTCAGAAATACAGAATTCAGGGTAAGTCCAAGCCCAGCCTCATTACTGCCTTGGGACACAGGACTTCACGATCTCCCTCGATGGATTCCAGTTCCTAAAGCCCAAATTAACATTCCAGAACGTAAATGCTTGAAATTGTGACCTGAACAGTTCTGAGCCTTGGAAGCATCCTGCTTTTAATTAAGCACCCTCTCCCTGCTGCAGTCACAGGCTGGCCTGTTAATGATGTTGTGTGAGGACCATGATGCTGTTCCCCCAGTGAATGATTTATTAACTCCAGCAACACCAAATCTGCTCCACAGCACCTGCACACCAAGACAAAGGATGTGATTACTGTGCCCACAGCACTTTAACTTCCTTTGTACTCTGGATGCCCTGAGTCCCAGCACAGGGCCCTGAGTCACAGCGCTGTTATTTAGTCCTCAGCAACCTTTGCAGGGTGAGATTCCAGCATCACCCTTTGCCTGCAGCTACTTTGGGGCAAAATGCGATGTAACAGATGAATTCTGCAGAGCAGATATCCTGTGCATTAACAGGCTTGCTGTTACAGAAGAATCCATTGCTGTTTCAGGCTCAAACAGCAGTTCTCATGATTCATCCTGGGCTTGTAGAACATGAATTACAGTATAAAATCTGCTTAAGAACTTGGTTCAGCTCTGTGTACAATTAATTTATCAACGCTCCTGACATCCACATCATTCCTTTTACTCTTTTCAGCTCTGGAACATCTTGACATGGCTGAAGCGAATACAAAAGAATATCTTTTAGATAACTTGCATTTATTAAAACTTCTGTGCCTCCATTTCCTGAGGAGTCTCATTGTGCTGCCTAGCACCTCTGCCAAAGGAGCAGATAAAACAGGAACGTGCTGGGGAACAAAAGCCCCAACAGCAGGATCTGCTCAGAGAAATGCCTGATGTGTGATTGCCCATCAAGGTAACTCCTGTCCGTGCCAGGTGTGTGGACATCACTCCCTCAGAGTCCACATCTCTCCTGGTTTGATGTGAACAGACAAAGGCCCAAAAGGAAGAGGAAAGTTGTGATTTGGAGGTGAAACACAAACCCTGTCCAGGGGTTGGGGCTGTGCTCTGGCTGCCTGTTTGCAGGGCTGCTACTGCAGAGGGAACTCAGAGCAATCCCAGCAGGAAAGGCTTTGCATGACAAGGGGATCCTTTCTCCACTCCAGGAAAGGAACTTAAAAACTGAGCCTAAAAGTCTCACTTGACTGAGCAGGAGAGCTGGCACAGCAACTTCCCTGTTCTGCATTATTGATGTTACCTTGCCCAGGTTAACCCCCTGTGCTGGGCGTGGAGGAGCAGGGAGCTGGGAGAGCAGCCCCTGTGCTTCCAGTCCCATCACAGTCACATAGGCCAGTGGGAAATGATTGAGAGCAAACAGCATCACAGCTGACAAGGCTGAGCTCACCTCAAACAGCCCCCTGACTTCTTCCTCCAGGAGACAGAGAGAGCCCCACACACCATTTCTCACTGTCTGGAGGCTGTCCCCTAAAATTAAATATTGATTCAATATGATCTGGCTTTCCCAGGGGAAAAAAATGAATATGCATTTCCCTCAGCGTGTGTAGTTTTAAATACCAGGGTAATTTTAATGGTCTCAGCTAAGCTGGATGAACACTCAGCAGCTAATCCCTTGTTTGCCCAAGCAGAGCATGCACTAAGATTTACTGTTTACCATCCCCTTGGCCGACCCCCTTTGTTTGCTCATCAATAGCAGCCGTTTGGGAGAGGCTCAGCCTGGCAAGGCCTGCTCTGGACACAGCAGGTTCCTTCCCACAGTGTCAAACAGGATCTGCTCAAGTTAATGAGACATAAGGAGCTTCTTTTTCTTTTTCCTAGAGAACATAATGTGTTCCTTGGCGAGCTGGAGATCACTCCAGAGACCATAAACCTGTTGTAATCTGGTAGAATGAAGGAAATAGGTGTAAAACAGGGGAAATGACAGCAAGATTTGTGAGATTAAAAAATAGGTGGGGTCTAAGACAGAGAGTGCCTTTTTTTGCCAAAGGGGGTTGTATTAACAACTAAAGCATGACAGCACCATAAGGTGTGCATTTTATTCAGATTACCCAGAATAAAAATCTGTCCTGTTATGTTCATCCATCAGGTGCTGGAAATACATCACAACACACCATTAACCTCCCATTTTGTCCTTCTTATCGTAGAATATAATCATAGGATGGGTTGGGTTGGAAGGGATCTTAAAGCCCATCCAGTCCCACCCACTGCCATGGGCAAGGACACCTTCCACCAGACCAGGTTGCTCCAACCTGGCCTTGGACACTTCCAGGGATGCGAAAGCCACAGCTTCTCTGGGCACCCTGTGCCAGGGCCTCACCACCCTCATTATAAAGAATTTCTTCCCAATATCCCACCTACCCCTGCCCTCTGTCACTTTGAAGCCATTCCCCACTTTGTCCTGTCAAAACTGTCCCTTTTCTCCAAAGAATTAACAGAAAGATCTTAGTTTTATCCATGCTGGGTTTAAGGATGTTTAGGTGACCTGCTCCCCTGGGCAGAAGTTGACCAACTGAGAGACAAATGCAGAAAACAAGAGAGCATTTGGAACACGTTGAACTTTTAGAGGAAAAAGTCTGTGACAGCTCTTTAAATGTTGTAGATCCACATCACCCGGGATCAGCTGATAATGTAGTTTGTACACTGCCCATCAATAAAGGACCCAACAGCATCACACTGCCCCAGACATTCCTGCCTGTGCTCCCACCCTGATTTACCAGCCAGTACTTTATTCTCCAGTGTGAACCCAGTTGTATGAACCATAGCACAATGTTACTGGGGAGCAGCAGATGGGTTCTATTAGTCTTATTTACTACGGTTATTTTGAATTTGAGATCCTAAGAACTGTATTGTTAGAATAGGTCACCCTGACCTAATCAATAATAATGAGTTGCTGGGCTTTTTGAGGGCACAACAGCTTGACTCTGATCAAAGTCTTACTCCTTTTGCTTACATTGCTCTCTGCTCTATATTGCTTTTCAATAGGAGAACAGTCCCTGAAAAAAACAAACAGAACAACCAAAAATCAGGTAGTCTGTACCTATATTTGTATGTTAAACACAAACACAACAGTACAAAACACGAGCAAATAAAGAGCTGCCTTGGCAAAGGCAGCTCAGTGATCAATCTGTAGCTGATAGATGATACTAAACCCTGTATTGATGAGAAGCAGAGCTTCTGCTACCTTGATGTTGCCTTTATCAATTAAAGCTGTTCTTATAATTACATTTTTCCTCCTCGTTAAGTTCCAAGTTGTTTGTTTCCTCTTTTATTATTTTTTAGTTGGCATTAAGCTGGGACTGGATACAACTCTAAGGTGATGGGTTACCAATCCTGCTCGAGCAGAAGCACTCAAGGAGCACAGCACATCCTGTCCTACAGCTCTTGTCACCAGTATTTACTGTCCAAGGCCTTTGTCCTCTCAGCCATGCAGAAAATAAAATTCCCCAGTGCCCTTCCAAAATTTCCCTCTGTAGTTTGCTCTCATTTAAGCAGTTTTAATGCCTGTGCACCTCTGCAGATACTGCCCACTTCATTATGCTGCATTTAGAGCAGCAGCTCCCTGGCACCCTGACAAGGGATTATTCCTAATGCTCTCCAGGAAAGCAGAACCAATGGAAAACAATTTACAAAAAAATATCTGCCAGACTTCTTTCTTCTCCTCTTCCCTTCTTTCCAGCAAGGGAATCGATAACCTTTTATTTGCAAAATATGGCTGTATAATGGAATCCCAGACTGGTTTGGGTTGGAAGGGACCTTAAAACTATCCAGTCCCACCCCCTGCCATGGGCAGGGACACCTCCCACCAGCCCAGGTTGCTCCAAGCCCCGTCCAACCTGGCCTGGGACACTTCCAGGGATGGGGCAGCCACAGCTTCTCTGGGCAACCTGTGCCAGGGCCTCACCACACTCTGAGTAAATAATAATAGTAATAATAATAATAATAATAATACCCAAACCAACAACAGGAACAACCATAACATCAACAGTAATAACAAGAATTGAGACATTTGCAGCCCCTGCTGTGCCCTCGGGCCCTGACAGTCCCTGTGCTGTGTCAGGAGTATCGTGACAATCTGCAAATCTCATCCAACACCAAGTAAATGTGCAGAGAACAGGATTCCTGTCCCTAGTGCTGATGGAAAAGAGCATTTTGCTGCACCCTCACAGCTAATCCACTGTGGAGTCCAGCCAATGGAGCAGGAATAAGGCAGCACTTGCTCTCACTTTTATACTTATTTTTGCTCACATCAGCAAGAATTATGCTTATTAATAGACCAAATTAAGGAACCAAGTGTTCCCAATGTATTTAGGACAACGAGGAATATGGAGACACCAGGACAACTGGTATCTCCAGCTGAGTCAGTCAGATTATACTGAGGAGTGAGGTGCAAGTTCTGCAGCCTTTCGTAGAAATCATGGAATGTCCTGAGCTGGAAGGACCCACAAGGGTCATCATCCAACCCCTGACCCTGCAGAGACACCCCAACAATCCCACTCTGTCCCTGAGGGTGTTCTCCAAATGCTCCTTGAGCTCTGGCAGCCTTGGGGCCATGACCACACTCCTGTACTGTCCATGGCAACTTATTACTGGAGTTCCCAGTTCTGACTTTGGGGTTGGGGTTTGTCATCTCCCCTCCACGATCTCAGAGCACCATGTCAAGTGGGACCCACACTTCCTTTCTGCTGCTCTCTGGCAGACATGGCAGGAAGTGTTTTACTTGGAAGTACTCAGAGAACATATTGGAAAACCAGAAGCCATAAGGAAAAACCTGCTCTTGCCAACAGATTTCCTTCTCCATCTCACTGCAGAGCAACACCCCCTGCCCTCGGGGCCGTGGATGAATGAGGAACCTTTGGGGTTTGTGTAGCCCAAGTGCCAAAGTAGCTCTTCACTGTGGCATTTATAAAGAAACAGGTTCTCTGCTCTAAATCTTTAACATCCATATTAAAAAATAAAAAACAAATATTCATTTTTCATTGAACTTCTTAAAAATAAAAAACGAGAGAAAATCTCTTTCAGCCGCCTAAAACCAAAACCAACTCCAACCTTCAGCTCCTGCCCCTCTGGCCCACAGTCATTTCATATAAATATTTTAAAAGAAGGATTGTTATTACCTCTCATGGCTCAGCTCCTGCAGGTTTTGTTCCAAGTCACAACATATGTTGGAATGTGAGCTGTGTCCTCTGGGAGGTGGCAACTGTCCCTCTGGGGACCAGGTTTAGGCCACGTTCCTTCTTGCAGACCCCCAAGGAGCTGGAGCAGGGTCTAGAATCCCAGAATGGTTTGGGTTGGAAGGGACTTTAAACCCATCTCATGTCCCTTGCCATGGGCAGGGACACCTTCCCCTAGCCCAGGTGTGTCTCCCAGAGAGAACTGGAATGGAAAAGTTTAAGTCCATTCTTAGGCAATGATGCACCAGTTTTCAAGCAAACTCTCAGCTGATGTTGCTGCTGTCACACAAAGAACAATTTGAACTTTTTTGCCTTTTAGAAGTAGAATAATCAGTCCCTTCAAACCCGCAAAGGAAACGGTGCCGTGGAGAGAAGGGAAGGGAAAGATGTGGGAGCTGGGAGAACAGGGAGACAGCATTAATTACACAGAGCCTGACAGGGAGAGGAGAAAATTTTACACCCTTCAAAAGGAAAAGAATTAAGAGATGATTGAGAGCAGGGAAAACTGGTAATTTCTCTGAGCTCTTTAAAGAGTTTACCAACCTCTTAATGGAGCTCCGTGTGTTAGAAGGAGATGGAAAACAGCCCAAGCAGCAGCCTGGAAATATAAAACATAATTATTTTTTTTTTGGGGGGGGGGGTTTGTTAGAAAATAAGCATATTTCTGAGATTCAAAGGAAAATATCTACTCACCTATCAGGGAAAAGTTAAGCAAAAAACCAGCTGCAACACTTTCAACCAAATATTTTCATTTAAAAACAAAATATGCCCAAACTAGTGTTGTTTGTGTGAAAAGGCTGATATAAAGAACATCTTGAAATGGCAGAAAATGAAGCTGAAAAGCACTCTTCATTTGGAAATACAAGGAAAAAAGTTACATTTCAAATTTGATACAAATCAAAGTGCCGCAAAACACCCAGCAGATGGAACATATTGCTTTCAGAGAAAGCAACAATAAGGAAGCAAAACCATTCACCTCAATTCAGGAATAGAAAGTTTCTGAAGTATTTTGCAGGACAGGAAAACAATTTCACTCTGAGGTTCCTGGGGGAAGCCAGAAAAAACTGGTTATTCAATTTATAAAAGCAAGAACGGAACACATTGAGATGTTACCTTTGGCTATGAGAGATGGGAATGAAAATAAGCCCAGGTTCAGAGCAGCAGCACTCAAACCTGAGCCACTTTTCATGAGGGACATGTAAAGTGCCTCATTAAGTCTCTCCTGCCATTCCAAGCCTTTTGCTGCCGGGGGTCAATAACAGGGAAACGTCACGGACCAAAGTGAAACTGTGGGACAAGAAACTGGGAAAATTAAAACCTCCCAGGCTGCAAAACTCACAGCAAGGGATCGTGGAATCATGGAATGGTTTGGCTTGTGACCTCAAAGGCCATCCAGTGCCACCCCTGCCATGGGCAGGGACACCTTCCACTATTCCAGGGTGCTCCAACCTGGCCTTGAACGCTTCCAGGGGTGGGGCAGCTACAGCTTCTCTGGGCAGCCTTGTCTCCCCAGCACAGTTAATATTCTGTCTAAAAAACACAGTTTTGGCTGCATTTGTACCAAAAGAGTGAGACAGAAATGAAGGGCTTCATTCTGAGGAGTGAAGTGATATCACAGCAAACATCCACACGGGCAAAGACTGGAGAGGGAGTTACCACTGGTATTTTGGGAAATGGAACTGCTGAATGACTGAGGGTGGAGAAGGACTATAAAAAGAAAAAGAAAGACTGTGCAGGAAGCCCAGCACCTTTTCCCTGGGGAGTTTAAAACAAATATTTTAATTCCACTCTATTTTGAAAGTTTCTTAAAATAATGTGAGACTGGATATTTTTATGGTGGAAGCGATGGCACATCTTGCTAATCCAAGTTATTTGTGTGCACACAGAAAGCCAGTCTTGTGTAGTATGAATTTGGTAAAATCCTTTTAGCTCTCCTTTAATTATCTTATGTCCCTAAGTAAGGTCCAGGAGATGTTGTCCACTGTGGTTTGGTCCCACCATTATTCCTGCCTTTCAGCCTGGTGGTTCAGTCACAGTGGCACGAAGATCTACCATCTACACCTCATGGAAGATTTTATTGCACCCCTGTGACTTTCCCACCTATTTAAATTTCTGTTTCATATAAATTACCTTTTTGACTGCTTGGCTTTGTAACTCCTTTCCCTTTGTCCTTGTTCTGTGGAATATCAACTCACTATGCAAGCACTGACACACCCGAAGTTCATCTCCAAACAGATGAGAGACTGAAAAGTTCTTTACTGCTGCACAGATTTATCATGTACAAGTAGCACATTTGGCATTACAAAAGAGATCATATAGATGGTGAAAAATGGTAATGAAATACAGCTTGGAAATTTTATAAAGTAACCTTGTTTTACCAGGGGAAAATAGAGGCAAAAATTTAAATTTAAACAGATGGAGGAAAAAAAAAACGTGAACTGAGTGACCATTGCAATTCCTGAAAAGTTATGCAGAGAAAAGCAGGATGTGACTGGAACACATAATACACATCAGGAGAAGAACAGAAGGATTAAACTGTGTTTCTTCCCCAAAAGGTTGTCCAGCCCTGGCACAGCTGCCCAGGGCAGGGGTGGAGTCCCCATCCCTGGAGGGATTTAAAAGCCCTGTGGATGTGGCACTTGGGGACGTGGGTGAGTGGTGGCCTGGGCAGTGCTGGGGATGTGGCTGGATTTGATAGTCTCAGAGGGCTTTTCCAACCCCAGTGATTCTGTCATTCTATTTTGTATTTTCACTGAGATGACCTCAGTAGTGTGCAGTGCTGAGGAAGGTTAAAGCAGAGCCTGTTGAGTGACACCTCCCCTGAGCTGAGGGACACGAGGGCCCTGCTCTGTTCACAAAGGCCCCAGAAGCTCCTCAGGGTGGGGACTGTCCCCCAGAGCCAGCCCTTGCTGTGGGACACACTGCACCTCCCCTCCTGCAATACAGCCAGGGGGGTTTGTGTTCTCCCTCTTGGACACCACGACCATGAGGTACCTGAAAATCTCTGCTGCTCCTGCTCCCAGGCTCACTCTGGGCAGCATCCCTGGGACTCCAGCGCTGGAAATGAGCTGGGACGTGGATCCCAAAGCAAATGTCCCCAAAGCAATGGGGACACTGGTGTAGGACCCCCCTGGGGTGGTGAAGGGGCCACCAGTCCCCACGAACCGAGGGCGTCGGTGGCACCTCGGAGGATGCTCCGCTCTCCTCTTGGGATGCTACAGGCAGGAATTATTCTGCTGCTGGTCTGGGAGCTGCTTCAGCATTTGCAGGATAAGCACATTGCACACAGCAAAAGGCTCCCTTTGTGCAGGAGACCTTAATGTGGCAATATTTTGTTTGTGCTCTTTGATGTTCAGCTTGCAGTTGTTTTCCGGGGGATTCAAGAACGAGCTCTTTAGATAATTTCATGATTTCTTTGTTTGTTTGTTTGCCAGAAGATCCATCCTGTGACATAAGGAGAAAACAATTCTATTTCTTATCTTTTTTCTCCTGGTTAATATGAAGAGATTACTACCATTTACAGAAAAAAACCAAAACCACTTCCAAGTCAACTCATAAGGAGCATAATTCCATCAAGTGGAGTTGATTTTTATATGTGAATGAAGGTTCAGAGGGACCTACACTTCAGGAATCTAACAAATGTGTACTTCATGAGCACAACATATTCAGCACTAGGATTAAAATATTGAATAAAACCTCCTTAAAAGGCCAAAGCTTTGTGAAAACATTGCAGCTTGCGCAGCTCTCAGGTAACTTTGGAGGCAAATGACAGTGCTGTGTTTGTCTATTCCAGTCTTAACAACTGAAACAAAGAGCAATTGAAAAGAAATTTCAGGAAAAATGTCCCATTTGCCCACACATGACTTGAATTCCATGAATGAATGTGTCTCTTACAGCAGGCACAAAGCCTTACACAGCCTTACATAAATGCCCTACATCATCCAAGTAGTCACTTTCTGATCTTCAAAATCCAACAGAATTATTTATAGCTTCGCATGAAATATTCATGCAAAAGTGTCCATTCCCTGAAATTTCTGCTAAAGAGTAATTTAACTTGGTTTTTTGCATTCCTTGCTATCATAATAATTTAGGTCAGGCAAGAACCAACAATATCATTTGCCTAAAAAACCCTTGTGTTGAGTATTACAAAGTCCTTAGATTTGTAGTAGGTATTTTGTAAAAAGCACAGTGAACAAGGGGCCCAATCCAAGCCACTAAAGCCAATTTTTAGCCAAGTATTGCCCTTTATTTTAGCCTGGATGGAGCCCTAAAAGGTCCCTTTTTAATTACAGCAGCTAATTCATCCCGTACCCAGTGCCACTGTTACATGACATCAGATCATGCAGCAGCAAATATGCATTTCCTGGGGCCAGGGGAAAATCAAATCAGTGCTGCCATAGCCCCTCCCAGGGCCTGCAGCAGTCACAGAAATGCCCTTTTGGTTTAAAACCAAAAATAGTGAATCCAAATGCACAGGAGCAACATGGTTTGTGCTTTTGGGCTGAATGCAGCCAGTGCTGGGAGTGCAGATTAGTGGTGTAACCTCAAGGGTTGTTGATCGTGGGCCAAGAAACGTCATCTGTGTGCTAACATTTTACACTAAAATTGATTCAATTTCCTGGATAAATAAATATTCCTTTTCTCTCATCTTATAGATTTTATAGGTCTTTTTTTAATAATACGATCATCTTTACCTCCATATCATAAATATGCAAAAGACTCAAAGCAACAGATGATGGGGAACATTAAAGTCCAGGACAATAAATATTTATGTGTGTGTACATATAAGCTGCATATACACATATATACATTCAGGTATGTCTTACAAGGGATTATTTTCTCCACAAGGCTTTGAACTGCCATTTTCACTTACAGGAGTTGAGATTTTATGGCCACCAGATGTCATAAAAACATCTCCATTCCCACAAGCAGGAGCTGCATCAGTTCAGGAGCTGCTCCCATCCCTCCCTTCACGCAGGCTCTGCTTCTCAGCTGCTTTCTTTGTGGACAAGGAAAACTCTGGAGTTAATGGAATGTCATTCAAGCTGGTGAGGTGTCTGGGAAAGAAACAAGTAGATGGAAATGTCTTCAAACCTCTGAAGTTTTCCACCACTCAGCTGTCCCCAGAAAGCCTGGCTGAGCTGGGGGTGACAGCGGGAGCAGGAGCCTGGTCCTGCTCTGATGGGATTTTTCCCGGCAGAGCTCTGGGCCAGTTCTCCTCCAGTGGGTGATGGCCCTGGAGATCAGACCCTGTGTCCCACCAAACCACCCTGGGCAGCTCCACAGGCCCTCCCTGACCCCCTCTCATCCTGGATCCTCCTCGCTCCGACACCTCCGAGCTGCATCCCGAGCACTCCCACCCTCATCCCACCCACCACTGGGGATTATTTGGGCAGAAACACTCTGACATCCCCCAACACAGCAAAAAGCCTCGTGACCAATTCCCCCTCCTCCCCTCGGATTAGATTTGGGCAAGAAAAACAATGGAGTGCAACTATATTTGTATTTCAGTTTACAAAGACCATAAAATTGTAAAAAAAATCCCTAAAAAAACCCAACCAACCCTATAAATCAACAAATAATATTAAAACCTACATATAAGAATTTTAAAATGCTTTTCATATGATAAATTTATGCATCTAAAGAACTTGTCTATCCAGAAATACACATGACAAACATAAATATTACATAGCAACTATTTGGACAGTCATACAGAAAAATTCCCTTTCTGAATAGTGTTGGCCGTCAATCTAAAGTGCCAAACTTTTCAATCAAGTTAAAACACACCTCTGAATACTACCATACTCATTAATTCTCCAAAATTACCACAGCACAGGGGTTCCAGGGCACATCCCTCCTGTTCCTGCTCTCTTTTTTCTTCCTGCCGATTTTACCTTTTTGCATATTTTATATGTATTTATAATTAAAAAGCAGCCCTTGCTGCACAGGAAACCCTAAAAGGTTTTGTATATCATGTCCTACACAGATGTAATGGATAAATCATAGGAACTTTTTCCTTCACCTTGTGAAAGCCATTTGCACCCCATGAAAAGGGAACCAGAACAAGGCACCCGAATGTCAACTGCTGGAACAAGAAGAATCCAAAATTACCTGTTTCTGCATCAGGTTGTCGTTACCGTTTTAAATAATGCATCTCCCCAAAAAATTCTTGAGGATGATTAAAAGAAAGAGATGTTCTCAGGAAGCAGGTGTTTCTCCCATCGCTACCAAATAATTTAGGACGGCACGTAATATTTTGACAGCGGGTGTGTGTGAGTGTGAGTGGCTGTCAGGCAGAAATTCTCCTCCAAGACAAAGGCTCTGTGAGATGCACA